GAACTATTAATAGAATCAAATTTACAAAATAACAAGTAATATCCAAACCGTTTGTCTGTCCATGAACTAGGATAAACTCATGTGTGCGCTATAAAGGAAAGGTCACTATAATTGTAAAATAATGTGATGAAAAGCGTCAGTGTGAAGTATTCAAGCTATTTGATTTGTATTACTTTATAAATCAGCATGATTACCAAGTCAATTTAGATTGAATACATATCCTAATTACGTCAGCTTCACGTTTATTAATGAACTATTAGAGGTGATCATTGATTAAATGGCGAAATAAGAGATTCTACCTGATATACAAAGAAATTTACAGAAAATGGAATTAAGCATAACTTTTGACACTAAACACCTTGAGAATACAGCAAATCAGATTTTTGTCTCAGAAACTTCATGAATAATAAATGATGAAAAGGATATCAAAATTAAATTGTTGCTTAGGAATTACTTCTATGATAGATTTAATTTGGAATCAATGTATCCTACAAAAAATCCGTAGTCATTGGCTGAAATTTTCCGTTACTTAATTTTTGCTGTATTTTAAAATTTCCTATCATTTACTTTTAAAATAAACAAGAAGTTCATCATAGCTGATATCGAATCAACTGTTATATCATATTTGGATTTAATCGGAATCTACTGCAGATGTCGTAAACACCCGAACATCCTTTATTGATAGTTGTTATTTGATATAACTTGAATAATAAGTAAGAAACATTCGTTGTTTTTAAAATGCATTATTTTACAATAGAAGGCTGTCTCTACCATTTACAATTTAAAAAATATTCATTGTAGGACATATTATTTGAATGGTTCTTGTATGCTCTACGTTTTACAAAGAAAATAGTTTGAAATTTTTAATAAAATAAACATTTTAACGAAATAGGTTTCTATGGATTCTTTTTATCACCTATTGGCTCTGTTGGAGAGAATCACGGAAACCAAGATGCACTGAACAAGTGTTACATTCTAACTTGAAGATTCCTCAATAAAGTACAATATTACCCAATAAGATATTGAACCAAGAATCTTTAGATCCCGTAACCAGCATGATATTTTTCGGGTGAATAGTGAAATATATTTAGGTTACATTAGAGTAAATGTTCAACGGCCGTTTCAAGCCACGTAAAGATTAAAAGTAGCAAACGTTTTTAATGGGAGAACAGAATAAATGAAATGACACATGTTAACAGCAATACAAATTTCCCTCTATTTTGATTAAAATCCTTTGTATTACACATTTACAGTGACTTGTAACAATAAACAGTGAATTATGATGACAAATATATAATATACTAACAACATTTTTGAGTTTTTAAAAACATTAAACAAACATTTGAGAATCAATAGGTTTTACTTATTTAATTCTCTTCCCGTATGTGTCCGCCTTTGTCATTTTGAACTTATAATCGTACACACATTTATATAATCCATATATGGATAAATTTTAATATAGTCTCTATCATTCTAGTTCTAAAACGAGAATGGCAAGTTCACCTGATTTGTAAACTGAGTATGAATAAAAGATAAAATCTATAAAAAACATCATGTAATTCCATAAGGTAATACCAAAAGGTGCTAGATATATTTATCAGTAATTTGACATTAAAAAACGACCTATTGTAGTGAACAGAACACGGGTGGGGACAATCGAATGTATTTGACACGAAATTACATAACTTGTTAATAAAATCTAACAATCATAAATTAAATACGTAATTTGCAAAATGTCCATCAATTGTCTCATAAAGACTCAGACTTCATTGTTCTTGCAGTTTCGTACAAATTGCATTCTGTTCCCATTCTTTACCGTTCGATCCTTTTGTCTCTCTGATGCCAGACATTTTGTTCCTGACTAACATCATAAAATACTTATGTTGATGTAAGTAGCACACGCCACACTATCATGTTCAAACAGCTAAATAAAGTTCACATGCTGATATTGTTAGAAAAGTTTACTTCCGTATAAAACATTATGCTGAAAGCAATTCCGTTCATTGAAATTTAAACGATTTCAGAGTTTTGTTAGTTAGACTAATCTAGGTCTTTCCAAATAACTACTTAAATTCTGATCGCTGAGATTATTTTGATTACGCTTTTTTACAAAAAGTCTTCCGTATATTCGATTTTCAACTCTTATTGAATTTCTTTTTAATTTGACAAATTTTCAGAAAATTACACTAGCTTGTAATATTCTTGTAAATTGTTATGCCCGTTTCCTAATATCTAGATTAGTCGGTTGTACCAATCTTTACCACTCGATGCCCAACATAAAATATTTCCAGTTAAAGAAATCCGAACAAAATGATTAGCCTTCCATTATTGTCACTATAATTAATACTAATATTATTGCTATTATTATTAATTGTGATCTAAGGTCACCATCCAGGTTTTTATTTTATAACAAACGAAGAAACGATCAAACATAAGATGAAACAAAGACAAATACTTAACAGAATTTGAGGTCAACACAGGACTTTAAATAAAACAGACATTAATTTCTGCACTTAAACGTTCCACAAAACTTTAAAAAACACTTATCTGGTGGAATGCATACATTAAAACTATTATAAATTGATAAATCTGTGACCATTTTGTTTGGCTTTTGTAGCACAAACTCGTTCATACGCTTATTTTACACTTTGATTCAGAAGTTTCCAGTTCTGTCATATAGTACTTAATGCAAAATTTAGACTATGATTGTTCGTAGGAGTTTTAAATTTCTCGTGATGACATTTAAGACTGAAATGTGATCAGGTTTTTATCGTCAAATAATGAGCTTAGGCAAATAACCCAATATCACCGCGGAATTTTGTTATAGTGTATTTTGGATTGTAGCCAGCATTAAAGTTCAGGGCCTGCTTGGACCCTTATTCGAAGGCTCGTCAAATAGTTGCAACGGCGTCTCAGTGTTGATGTTCACACTTAGATCTTATCTCATATCCATTACTTAAAACCCTTTTATGTGAGTTACTAAACTACTGAATCTAAGTATCCACCAACTTGTTCATATGGTGTGACAATTATTTGTGTTGTTTCGCCAGCCTCAATCCATAATATCCCAAATATTGCGATATAAAAATAATATTCTGTATGCGTAAAATGGTCTAGAAAAAGTCACTGACGTACCAATGCTATAACTAGCTCTTTTTAATCGAATATGAACTTAAGTTCTTACTGTAAAATTTCGGAAGAAAATATTAGCATGTAAGACGTAATTATTAGGTTGATATTTCGGCATACTGAATTCGTTTTGCACTCTTTACTGCAATGTTGTATCGAGCAGGCTGCAAGCACCAAGTAATAAAATACAATATAAAAACCTTTTAAATGAAGGTTTGTTATAAGGTTCTAATGGTCACACCATTTTTTAACTGACTTACAAATTCAACATGTCTTCAAAAACCACACAAGGTTTTTGAGTGAAAATGTCACAAAAGTCTAAACAAAATTTAATTCATTATCAAATAATGGATTAGACATTTTTCTCATCTAGGTAATTAATTATGTAATGACGTCTTTTTACTTAGAAATCTATCCAACTTTCCAGTCAAGAGCATAATTCTGTTGAAGTCATGTGAACTAAAATATCTATTACTTAAAATCTTGACAGTCAAATAAAAAGTAATATCTATAGTTGTTAAAGATGTCCTCATCGTAAATATTTCTGTAAAGTACAGTTAAAGCGGATTCTTGTGACTTTGAGAATAGCTAGAGCTCCGTATAAATTTTAGTTGACTTTATGAACTCAACCCAAAATACACTACTATATACTTAGAAGCTTTTATGTGTTTCTCAATCTTTAGTTATACATGAAATCACGACTTTTGGGACGCCTTGTTACTTGATTAATATTTTTGGAGTAAACCACAGAATAATTAAATGTGCTTCTTCCTGGCTTTTAGTCCAGTTTTTTATTTGAAGACTAATGATTCTTGCTGGTTAATAAAATTTAGTCTGTTACAGTATTGGACTAGTGCCAAAGTGGTTTAAGACGATGTATCATAGCCATAAGCTTACAGCTGTCCACCTATTATTCATAAGTAATATTTCTGTCTTCAAAAAGTAACTAAATGTCACCTGAAACATTTATACATTTTAGAAAGCAAATAACTTGAATTAAGTGGGAAAGTTACTTTGTTTTGTTTGTTTCTACTAGTTAGGTCAGCAGATCTTCAAGTTACTTAATGCTACTCAAAAGCAGTTTTAGTTTCAGCAGCAAACGTCAAAATATTTAGTGACTATATGAAGATAGATTTATGAAACCTAACACTTCTAAGTTCATTAACGTGTAGAATTACTCGTGAAAAACACATTTTTCTAGATCAACTTCGACATCGCATATCGATTAGTCAGAATTAATATAGTAATCCTGCCCCTCATACTGTTGCACAAAGTTAAAGATAATTCACAAGCGCAAAACAGGAAATCTAATCTGTCAGAAAATAACTAAACAGCATTACAAATATTTTACTGACTATAATAATCATGTCACATAAAATAAAGATTTTCCTCAGTCTCCAGCAACTAATTTTACGAAAATAGCAATGTCTTGTATATGGATTGGCTTACTTCCTCTTTCGTTACATCTGATTAATGTTTACGCCTAGGACACATTCAACTATATCTAACTTTATAATGGTCATTACATGGAAATTTCCAGAATGTCTTCAGCCTAATCCCTCTCCGATACGATGAGTAGACTTGTCTAAATATTAAACAGTAACTTATTTTACCTTAATTTATTGCTTATTTATTACTAATGTTATTCGGAATTTGAATTTTTAAAGAATGGACAATACAATAACCAAAAAGGCTAACAACTGGCGAATCATAGTACAAGATTTTGATCAAAAACGTCTATAACAACTGAAACGATGCAAATATCTTCAAAATAACCTAAACTTGAATGATCAAAAACCCTAAGGTGACGCAAAGTAGTATAATAACGTGAAAATTATGACAAAACAAAAAATAATAGAAAAAGTGCTTACATCGATTTGCTCCTGTTTAGCTGGACAGGACTTCAGCTTTTCCTAGGCAAAAAAATTTAGAACAAAATATATATATTCAGTCACTTTCAAAGTTTGCACTTTCTCATCATTTGTCTTAAGATCACTTATTTCATCCAAATCGATATCACAATCGTAGTCATCGACCTTCAGGACCGGGTATGTCAAAAATTTCACACTGACCTCTGTGCAATAAAGAGAACGAAGGTGTTCAAAAACAAAGTTTTCAAGCCGAATTTTTTCGCTAATTTTCTGACGAGTCCTTCTATCGTACTTCGCAGTTAAATAACGTTTACGTTTTGAATGATCTGCAGGTGCATCAGCGGCAAAAACCACCTCCCGGTTTTCGCTTTTTTCAGAAAACCCATCACTTCTTTCCCCAATTCCTTGCCTAAATTCATTACTTCAATCCATTTACATAGGTATATCGATAACACAAAACAATTACGAAACGGTTGAGAGCTTGTGTAAAACTTTTTGGAATAATAAAACACAAATCAATGTACAACAAATTCATAAAGAACTGGGGTAGTTACTTTGTATTGTTGCACACAGTCTAGTCTTTCAAAAAGTTGCGTTAGGTTATATCATGCTTTCTTTGTTCTCTTTTATCACTTAATCGACTAGTTATTTTATAAGATGCATTTACGAACATCTTAATGATGAGTTTGTTTTGAACATATGCTTTCGCTGTGTTCGCTTCTCGGTGATAGGTTTTATTATTATACATACAAAACAAATAGCTAAGTATCAAAGGAACTCTGACAATGCGAAGTCATTTTCACATAACATCAAATCACATTTAAAGCGAAATACTTAAACATGGATAAAGATCAGTTAGGAAGAATGGGACTGCACATCTTATTGAAAAATAGGTGAAGCACCAAGTAGTCACTGAAACATAATTGTCGTTGCTATAACAGCTTCGTCGAACACTGACGAAAATTATGCAATTTCTCTTTTCTGTCTTGTTGAGATTAATGGATTTGTATGGCGACACCTTCGAACTCACAGATCTGTTAGTCATTGAGATGTAGTTTACTCACAACAAGCTCTCACATTACTTTCGTTGCTACGGATTGGTGTTTCACAGCTCTTACAACTTTACAAATGCTAACACTAAAAGTTTAGTCGCGGATATTCATCCAAAGATACATAGAGCTCGGCATTAATCTAACACGGATCTCTCAATGCAATTGTCGTATAAGAAGATACAAAGAACTTTTAAACATTCACTGAAGGATGTGCGGTGATTTATACAATCCGAAAGTTTAGGTAAGCTATCGGGAATTTCGTCAGAGTTTCTGATGAAGTTTCAAAGACATGTTTGTGTTCGGTTTGCTAGACACAATTCATACTTCACCTACAAACTATATGAATAATCACAATAACTTAGATTGTTAGTTTATTAATATCTGAAAGGCAGTCCAAGTAAATATATACTTCACAAGCGAATGAATCAGAATATGTCAAAACAATATTATACTTTACTGCATATATATAGTTACTCTTGGTCCCTTGCTCTGTTTTCGCCATTTTTCCTGTTATAGATTGATGAATGTTGTAAAAGACTGGATTGGAGTTGTAGTACTGTGGTGCGTGCTACTTATATTGATATAAGTAGTATATAACGTGAGTCAAAAGAACGTAACGTCTGGCAGCAGAAGATGGAGAAGATCAAGAAAAGAAGAGCGAGAAAACAATGGAATTTGTAAGAAATCGCATGAACAATGAAATGCGAGACAATGGATTGATGTTTGCAAAAGCAACAGTCCGGTTTGATATGATAGAATAATATTTTGCAAATTAACGATTTACTATATGGTTTTTCTATTTTACGAAGTAATTCTGTAATTTGTCCTAAATACAATTTGGTTGTCCCCACCCGTGTTCTCCTTCACTACATTTGGTGTCGCTGCCTCCACTAAGGATGAAGATTCCATGGCCGAAGGAGTTTGAGGACGGAGATGTGCTGAGCTTCCTGAAGGAGTCTGAGGCCGTGGCGGAGCTGGTGGGAGTGAAGGAGCCGATAGCGAAGCTGGTGGTGCTGGGGACGCTTCTGAGAGGCAGGGCGAAGGCTGTGTATGACAGCTTGGACGGTGCTGGTGGGAAGACGACATGGGAGACAGTCACGGAGCGGTTGGCGGCGGAGTTTGACAGCCCAGTGGACAGGGAGGACGCGCTGCAGAAGTTCCGGCTGGCGAGGTTGCCGGTCGATGGTGACCCACTGGTGCTGGCTGTGGAGCTTACCAGATTGTTACGCCGTGCGCTGCCGAGTCTGGATGAGGAGTCGGAGGCACAGTTGCTGGCGTCACAGTTTATCGAGAGTGTGCCTACCGCCGTCTCCCAACAGCTGAAACTGGTGAACGCAGCGCAACCGATGGATATCGGTGAACTGGCGAAGGTGACTCGTCAGCTGATGACGCGAACAGTAGCTCCGGTCGGGTGCGAAAAGCAGGAGATGAGTAATGTCGAGAAGAAGATTGAGAAGCTGGAGCGTAAGATTGCAGCAATACGAGTGAACAATAAAAGGAACGATAAATGTTACGCCTGTGGAGGGACATGACATTGGAAGATAAACTGTCCAACAGGACGAAGACGCAGATATGTTAGACGTTACAACGAGTGTTCTTTCTATCCTAGGAATCTGGGGATTGTTGCGTTAGTAGACAGAGGGGCAGTATATACGAGAGTAAACATAAATGAGCGAGATTTAGTTTGTCTGATCGATACAGGTGCAGCAGTATCGTTAATAGGCAAAGAGCAATGTAAGAGAATCAAGCCGTGTACATTAGCTGTCCACACGATAGGGGGCCATATGTTAGAGGTGTTTGGCGTATCTAACAGTATCGTAAAATTGGGGGATGCTGAGATAAATTTTCCGTTCGTCGTAACCACAAGCTTATCGAGACCGTTATTAGGAGCAGATTTCCTAAGAGAAGTAAAAGCGATAGTTGACTTAAGAAGCGGTAAGGTGGTCACGAAATATGGTTCATTGACAATACACGAAAGTAGCGAAGTGGCTGAAATAAGAGTTGCAGCGGATGTCTTTTTTTTTTTTTTTTTTTTTTTTTTTTTTTTTTTTTTTTTTTTTTTTTTTTTTTTTTTTTTTTTTTTTTTTTTTTTTTTTTTTTTTTTTTTTTTTTTTTTTTTTTTTTTTTTTTTTTTTTTTTTTTTTTTTTTTTTTTTTTTTTTTTTTTTTTTTTTTTTTTTTTTTTTTTTTTTTTTTTTTTTTTTTTTTTTTTTTTTTTTTTTTTTTTTTTTTTTTTTTTTTTTTTTTTTTTTTTTTTTTTTTTTTTTTTTTTTTTTTTTTTTTTTTATAGATTATGTGTCGACTTCAGAGAATTGAATAATATAACAGACCTGAAGCCTTTTGCAATGCCAACAGTGGTGGAAACATTAGATCGGCTACAGAATGCCACGGTGTTTACAGTGCTGGATTTACGGTCAGGTTATTGGCAACTGCCTATAAAACAGAGTGATCGAAGCAAGACAGCGTTTACTGTACGTGATAAACAGTATCAATTTAAACGAATGCCGTTCGGGTTGGCGGGTGCACCGTTCACGTTCAGAAGATTAATGACACTACTGCTCAAGAATCTAGATAATGTCGAGGTATATGGCGACGATGTAGTTGTGTACAGTCAAACAGAAACAGATCACATCAAGCATGTGGAAGCGGTCTTAAAGCGAATTGACGAATTTGGACTTCGGATTAATAAGGACAAGTCGCAGATAGCGAAAAGTAGCGTCACATTGTTGGGACATAAAGTGGGAAATGGAGAAATAAAACCATTGCCGGAGAAAATTCTTACCATAAAAAATATTGCAGTACCTAATTCGAAAAGGAAGTTGAGACAGTTCCTGGGAAGAGCGGCGTTCTACAGTCGGTTTGTCAAGAATTTCAACGAAATAGCAGCACCCTTATATAAGTTATTGAGCAGCACCAAGTTTACGTGGACTGAGACTGCCGAACAAACGTTCAACCGAATCAAAAACATGCTAGACGATCGCCAGATGACGCTCAGACTGCCTGAACCGGGAAGACTGTTTACAGTGGCCACAGACGCGAGTGATCATGGTATAGGTGCTGTGTTGAGTCAGGCTGATAGAGTGGTGGAATACGCGAGTCGCGTCCTCACACCTGCTGAACAGAAGTATTCAACCATCGAAAAGGAGTGTTTAGCGATCGTGTGGGCAGTGGAAAAATGGAGACCATACCTTTTAGGTAGACGATTTCACATTGAGACCGACCATAAACCCCTGCAGTGGTTGAAAACAGCAAGAGACCCCCGAGGGAAGTTGGCGCGATGGATGATACGCCTGCAAGAATACGATTTCAGTATCGGCCATGTTCCAGGAAAAGAAAACGTAATGGCGGATTACTTGTCAAGACCAGACATGGAAGCCGACCTGCCATTAACAGCATACGCGGTGAATAGTTTAGAGGGAGACCCATTAGAACTCGTCCGGCAGCAGAAAGCTGACCCTAACCTTCGAGAGGTAATCAGAGTGATAAAAGAGGGAGCAGACGTAGATAAACGAACAATGGACAAGGAGGTAATAACGCTGCTTCGGCAAAAGGACCGACTGAGAGTGAACTCATATGGAGTGCTGACCTGGCAGGACGATGATGAGAATTGGGTGGCGGTGATCCCGAAAGACTGGCGGCGTAAAGTGATACACGAGTGTCACCAGGTAGCACATACAGGCATCGCAAGAACGACGGACTTACTACGACAAAGTGCATACTGGCCGAGCATGAGAGACGATGTGGCTGAATACGTGTTAACCTGCCAGCAGTGTCAGCTAATGAAAAGCGATCGATACACACAACCGCCATTACAGTCAATCCCAGTAACCGCAGTCGGTGATCTATGGTCGGTGGATGTGATGGGACCGTTTCCACAGACGGCGAGCGGTAACCAGTACCTGTTAGTGATGACGGAACATGCTACACGTTGGGTAGATGCCGTACCCATTGCAGACCAGCGGGCAAGGACAGTGACCGAGGTGGTAATCCGGCATATTGTAGCGTGTCACGGAATACCGAAGATGATATTAACTGACCAGGGTCCCTGTTTTGAAAGTGACGAGTTTAAAGCCCGTTTAAAGCAGTTTGGCATCAAGAGAATACGAACTACACCGTATCATCCTCAGACAAACGGGCTTACAGAGAGAAACAATCGAACGTTAAAGGAATGGTTAGCATCAAAAGGAGGAAATTGGGAGAAAGAGTTACCATTGATTTTGCTGGCACATCGTTCCTCCACACAAGGAACAACCAAGATGTCACCTTTCCTGCTCATGTATGGCAGACAACCACGACTTCCAATGCATAATAAGACCTGGCCACAACAACAGAAGTGGACGACAACAAGGTTAAGAAAAGAGAGGAGAGAGGCAATAAGGAACGTGGAAAAGAAACAAATATCAGACACAAAGAAGGCAGAACAACAGAGGAGAACGTGGAAACCCTTTGCAGTGGGGGACCTAGTAAAGTGTAGAGAACGAAAAAGTAACATAGCAGGGGGAGCAGGGTCGGGGAAGCTGGCCCCAAAATGGGAAGGACCGTATGTTATCACGGAGAGACGCGGCTCGGTCTACACGATCCGGAGAGAAGACAAGCAGAAGCGCGTAAATGCTAGTCAACTACAGAGATGGTTTCAAGATCATCATGGGTGTGAATCACGAAAAGCACCAAAGAACACAGCGGTACGGAGATCAGAAAGACTACGACAGCAACTTGTTAAAAGGGGGGACGAGTGTGGTGCATGCTACTTATATTGATATAAGTAGTATATAACGTGAGTCAAAAGAACGTAACGTCTGGCAGCAGAAGATGGAGAAGATCAAGAAAAGAAGAGCGAGAAAACAATGGAATTTGTAAGAAATCGCATGAACAATGAAATGCGAGACAATGGATTGATGTTTGCAAAAGCAACAGTCCGGTTTGATATGATAGAATAATATTTTGCAAATTAACGATTTACTATATGGTTTTTCTATTTTACCAAGTAATTCTGT